TTTAGTTGTCCAATTAATTTCTTTCTAATTTTAGTAGAGACGGGGTCTCGCTCTTGCTCAGGCTGGTTTCGAACTCCTGAGATCAAACAATCCGCCCGCCTTGGCCTCCCAGAGTGCTAGGATTACAAGTGTGAGCCACTGTGCCTGGCCTCTAAGCGGCTCATTCTTATCCAGCAACCCTTCTGTGTGTGCTGGGCCCTCCCCTCTCTCGTGCTCTGATCCTCACAACTGTGCAGGGTAAGTTTGTCCCCATTTCATAGAGGGAAAAATCAAGGCTCAGAAGTCTCAGTGACTTGTCAGGGCCAGAATGTGAACCCGGGTCTGCCGGCTCCTGTGCGCTCTTTCCGGGGTGCCACCCGGCCCGGCCCAGCTCCAGCCTGGTCCCTCAGCACAAAGATGGGGCCTGGAGGGGCGTGGGAGGCGGCACCCAAAGCGTGAAGCGCAGGTGGGGAGCTCCGTGGCCAGCCACCTCCAGGCAACTGTGGCCTCGGGGCTCTGCCTTGCTTTCCCCTCACGGCACCATGAAAAGACACCCCACGCAGACCCTGCCCGACACCTGATGCCATTGGCGACCAGCCCGGGCCCCTCGGCCAGAGCAGAATGGAGGACAAGCCACGCGTTTCCTGCTCTTTGCCAGGGCTCCTTAGACCTCCGTGGATCCTGCTCAGGGGGTGAAATGACATGTTTAAAATCACCTTTTCAGATCCCATAGTCGTGATTCTTGCAGGGGGTCCCGGGGTGCCCGTTCTTCTGTGATTACTTTGGCCACAACAGCTGGGGAGGCGGGAGGTGACGCCGGGGGCGGGGAAGGTGGGGTGGAAGGCGGGGGGCAAATGCAGGCCAGCTCCAGGTTCCGGGAGCCCAGCCCGAGTGGGAAGGGCCGGAGCGCACGGGGCTGGGCCCGACTGAGTGTAGGACAAGTGTCACCGCACCAGGTGGGCCTCATTCCAAGGTCGGCAGGCACCCTGCATTGCCGTTCTCACGAGGGCCTCCCTGCTCCGGAGCTGCTCAGGCCTCGTTTCCAACCCAGGGTCCGCTACATCCTAGCTGGGCAACCTTAGGGAAACAACGTTTCCTCTCTGAGCCTCAGTTTCCCCATCTGTAAACGGGGAGAGAATCGTCCTTAGGATCCAGCATCTAGCAGGCTAGCACAGCCAGGCCCACGGGACACCCCCGCCCCTCCCCCGCTCTCCAGTCACGGTGGGGAATCGAACGCCAGCCCCACGAAGAGGCTGATTTCCGAGAGGTGGGGAAAGAGGGAGATCTGAGGTCTGAGGGATGAAGAAAGAAATGACACCAGCTGCCAGGAACTCCCAGAAACACGGAAGAGGCCAATGACCCAGATAACCAGGGAGACACGGATGAGACAAACCAAGAAAGACACACAAACATTCCTCACGGATATCGGTGCCGGCATCCGGAACACACTCTTCCCCCGACCCCAGAGGCAATTTCTGGAAGGGTGGTTTGTCCTGACCGCGTGGGGCTTATCCCGGCTGTGCGGCAGTGGCATTCGCCATAAAACACGGGCGCAGTGATTGGCTTTAAGCACCACAGCGCATTAACCGTGCCCGCGAACACACACGCAGTCCTGTCTTGTCCCGCGACTAGCGTGCTCGAAGCTGTCACCCAACCTGCTGCCTGCCCGCCTCCCCGCCCAGGCTCTCTGCGGGACGGGAGGGCTGGCCGGTCCGGTGGAGTCACAGCCTCCCCCCGCCTCCTTCCTCGTCCCGGGCTCTGCTCTTGCAGGCACCCCAGACAGGTCATCTTGGAGGGTGGCAGCTCCTCCCATGCCCTCGGGTCTGCGTGGGGAGGGGCCGCAGAGCTAACATTCCGGAGAGACGTCGAAGTCCGAGGTGATCCAAGGAAAGCCACGGCCCAAAGTCAGAGCCCTCGTCAGACTGAAGCCCACAGCCGTGCCGGCGTGGGCATCTCCTGGTTCCTTCCTGGCCACCAGAGCCAACGATGCCAGGAACCCAGACTGACGTGGAGCACGGGCCCCACGCCGTGCCAGGCCCCGTGTGGAGGGCACCCACGAGTCGCACAGCAACCCACAGGAAGCGCTGTCATCCGCTTTGACAGATGAGGACACCAAGGCTCCGGGAAGGGACGTCAGCACTGGCAGGAAGTGCTGGCACTGGCCTGAGCCAGCACCGGCTGCTGCCGCCATCCCACGGGCTGTGGCTCCCAGGTACACGCTGACTGCCTTCTGGAGCCTTTCCTCCAGCAGTCTGCTGGGCGTTCTTGGGGTTCCACCGTCCCCGCCAAGCCCTAGAGGATCTGCTGAGAGGTTTCCATTCTTCAGAAACCCCTCCTCACCCACCTAGCCACAGCCCGCAGAGGCAGAGCCCCTGCGGACCCGTGTCCTTTGGGCCTGGGGGCCCTGGGAGGCAGAAATCTATTCCCAGCTCAAACTTGGAGCTGGATTCACTGCGGATGACAGATCCCGGAGGGCGGGGGCGAGGACAGAAGGAAGAGGCCCTTACCCCTCTGCTCAGCATCTGGGAAAGGCGCCACCCTTGAACGCCTGTGGGAATGTGCAGACGGTAGTTTACCCAGCCAGGGTTCAAGACTGGACATTGGGGTTTGACCTGTGGTGGCCCCGCTGGACCCGGCACTCCTGACTCCTTCGGGACAAAGACAAGGGGCAGATCCCCCACATCCGCGACGGCTGGACGCGGGAGAAGCCAGCGGCCTGGGGAGAGTGAGTGGGGTCTCGGGTCCTGTCTGCAGGGGCGTTGGCCCTGGGCAGACCCTACCATGGAGGATGGGGAGTCCCTGCAGCAGGACTGGCTGGGATAGGACGTTATTTCCTCCCCTAAAAGAGCCGGTGGGTCATGGGTTGAAATGTGTCCCCTCCCCCCAAAAAGATATGTTGGTGTCCTAACTCCCAGCACCCGTGGACGTGACCTTATTTGGAAATAGGATCTCTGTAGATGATATTGAGATGTAAGTTAAGATGAGGTCGTCCTGGCGTAGGGTCATACTGAGCCAGTATGACTGTTGTTGTGAGAAGGGGACATATAGAAGGGGGGACAGACACAGGGAGAAGGCCATGTGACGACCGAGGCAGAGAGCAGAGTGACAGAGCCCAGGAACACTGAGGATTTCTGGTCACCCCACACAGAGCGGGTCACACCCCACTGTACTGCCTCTTGGCTGGGCAACCTTGGGCAAGTCACCTGCCCTCTCAGGGCCTCAGTTTTCTCATCTGTAAAATGGGCTCGTTGATCACCCCTTGTCAGAGGGTTGCTGTGAGCTGTGGCCGGGCGCTCACACACAACGCGCTCCTCGGGGAGCTCCGGTCTGTGCCTCAGCTTCCTGCGGATCTGGGACAGGCCACAGTGGGCCTCCCGGCCCGCACCCTCTCCTCCCTCTGCCGAGGGCATCAACCCCTCCTTCCCGGCTCACTCCACCCTTTCCCTTGGTCTCAACTTAGACTCCCCTCCTGGGACCCTGCCCTGCTGCCCTGGGCTGGGCTCAGGGGCCTCGTCTCTCACTGCAGCTCTCATCAGGCTGGGCTGTGTTTGCCTGGTCACTGGTCCACTTCCTGGGGGACAGGGACCAATGGGCCAGGAGTGGGGGGAGCTCTGGGAGGGATTGAGGCTGGAGTGAGGGGCTTACGGCCGGTCACCACCACGGTGAGGGCTTCCCAACCAGCCCACTGCCCAGGCCTGGGTGGAACAGCCAGTGCCCAGCCTGGGGGCTGGGAGGGCATCAGACAGTGACCTCAGGGATAAGGGATCAGCCAGCCTAGAAAGTCCAGGGCGGGCTGCCCACACCCATTGCCCCCTGATCACCGGCACCATGTGGACAGAGGCCCACCCTGCCGGGAGCGCCACCCTGCTGGGAGCCACTGCGTCACGTAAGTGAAGAACCGCACGGGAGAGGGTCCGTTTGCACGTCACTTGTATTGTCCCATGAAACGCACATCCATAAACAGTTGACTTGGAAACGACCTATTAGGTCACACGGAGTCCAGCCCCTGGGGGCCAAAACCACACCGGTGCCCACGGCTGTGGCGTGTGCATCTGGTCTCCCCAGGCTCTGGGCCGGGTGCCGGGAGAGGCCGGCTCACACCCAGGCCCTTTGGCTCCTGGGCAGCAGCTCCCAAAATGCGCTTGAGAAACGGTGGTTCTTGGGGGTTGGTAGGTGTTCCTTAAGAAAAGGGTTCTGTGGTCAAATAAGTTTAGGAAACGTAGGTTAAACAAGACTCAGCAAGAAGCTTTTCTATGGGACTTATCAGAACCTTTATGACAACAACCGCCCTTGTGAATGTCCAAAATGGGGGCAGAGTGTGCAGCACTTCCCAAACTTATTGGACCACAAAACCCTTTTCCCCCCGAAGCATCCTGCAGGCCGGCGTCCTGCAAGGCACCCTTTGGAAAGTGCTGCCCTAAGCTAACGGCAACGGCACCGGCGCCAGGCGGTAGGTGGGGGCTGATTTGGCAGGCATCGTGCTGTGGCGTGATGGGCACAGCCGAAAACTCAACAGTCATGACGATGAAGGGACAAGACACGGCTCGGCCCCTCCCAGCATCTCGGGTCTGGCCGGTTATCTCCAGAGCAGAAGCTAAATGGGGCTGTCCCCACGGGTGGGTCCCGGCCCGCCCAGAGAGGAGACTCGGAGCAAGAGGCCTGGCACTAGGGCACAGGCCGGGCAGTCACGGGCGGGCCGGCCTGGGTCGCCAGCCTGCAGCCAAGATGGGAGGACGGGGTGGCGGTGGCTGGCTCCACCTCTGGGCTGCGGGGTCAGCCCCACCCACCCACCACCAGCCCTGCCTCCTCAGACCACCCTGTCCCGAGCCGCGGCAGGCGGTTCACCAGGCGGAGATGAGCATCTGGCAGGTGTTGGACGACATCCAGACCAGCTCCACCAGGCGGAACTGGAAGTAGCCAATGACGAAGCCCGAGATGACGTCCGTGACGTGGTGGCGGCCGATCATCACACGCGACAGGCCCACGCAGAAGGCCCAGAGCACCAGCAGCACCCGCAAGGGCACCGCCAGCACCAGGTGGCTGAGGAAGAACTTGGACACCATGGCGGCGCGGCTGGCGTGCCCCGCGGGGAAGGCGTAGATGTCCATGGTGAGGTAGTCCAGCAGGCCGGGGCTCGTCTCGTACGGGCCGCGCCGCTTGATGAGCTTCTGCACGCCGGCCACCGTCATGATGTCCAGGAGCAGGGCTGCGGGTGGGAGACACAGGCCCCAGGGCCGTCAGGGCCTCCGCCAGGCCAGCTGCCGCCCCCAGCCCCCCGAGACCTCCCCCACCCTCGCTGGCTCCGCTCAGCCCACTGACGCCCAGGCGGCTCCCGCCAGAGGCCCTGCCCGGGTGCCCTCCCTCCGCGCCTCGCCTTGGCCGAGAAGCCGTCCCTGACCTGTTTGCGAAGGCCCAGCCCTCTCCACCCCCACCCGCTGCATCGTTTCTTACGGCGTTTCTCATCCCCCCCGCCGCCCTCGGACACACGACGCATTTTCCTCCTGATTTCTCTCTTACCCCCTCACCCCGCTATAACACGTGTGCTCCGTGTTACACACAGCGAGCACCCCTGTGCCCACGGCTGGTGCCCAAAGCGAGGGGGATCGAGGTATCTCTGGCATCTACGGGCACCTGGAAGGTCTCAGTCCTGACACACGGGCCCTGGGCTGGGTGATTTTTCTCAAAGGACCTCACTGACCACCCTCCCTCCAGCCCGGAGAGCATGACATCGTCATACTCATTTTTTAAAAGTCGAAGTGAAATTCACATCACACACAATTGACCACTTCAGAGTGTACAATTCAGGGGCATTTGGTACATTTGCAATGTTGTGCGGCCACCACCTCTATCGAGTTCCAAGCTATTTTGTCACCCAAGAGAAAACCCTGTACCATTATGCAGCCACTCCCTCACTCTCCCCCGGGCTCCTGGAAACCACCAGTCTGCTTTGCGACTCTGTGATCTACCTGCTCTAGACCCTGCGTACGGATGGGACCAGAGACGCGTGCCTCCTGCGCCCGCCTCCCCCGTGTCCGCGGCCGGGCGATAGTCCCCTGTGTGGGTGGACACGTTTGCTCACCCCACTCGCCTGCCCAGGGACACTGGGCTGTTTGCACCTTGGGGCTCCCGTGAATCCTGCTGCTGTGAGCACGTGGGTGAGTGTTTGCTGCGTGCTCCTTTGAGGACACAGCTCGAGTGGGACTGCTGGTTCGCATGGTGGCCCTAGCTGTGACTTTTGGGGAAACCCACGCTGTTTTCACAGCAGCTGCACCGTTTCATCCTCACTGCACAGAGGACAAGACAAAGCCGTGGGGTCCGCAGCATTCATACCTGCTGCTCCCTCTTTCCAGAGCGTTCCACCCTCCCCCCACCCACCACCTCCGGGAGACCTGCCCTGGCCCCAGACAGGCCAGGCCCGGGATCCTGCCTTCTCCACGCCCCGAGTCCCTCCTTCACGACCCCTGCCCGGCAGGCCCTGAGGAAGCCAGCGGGTGGTGGGAGGGTCAGTGTCGGCTCCACTCCCCTCCCTGTGCCATCTCTTCCTGGAGGGAGGGCCGCGCCTCCTTGTCTGTAGGTTTATCCCTGGGCCAGACGCAGAGCAACAGACGCTGCTCCTGCTCGCAGTCCGGTCTCTCGGTTTTGGGTCTGAACCCCCGTCTCTCCTGGGCCCGCCTCACACCAGCCGCGGCTGGCCGAGCCGACCCAGGAGGCAGGCGCTCAGAGAAGCTGCCTGAGGGAGGAGGGACCGGCGGATGGAGGGGACCTTGTTCTACACTTGCCGGCCAGTGCCACGGCAATCTGATCCACGGGGCTGGGTCCTCCCAGGAGGTGGCTGGGAGGTATGTGGCCGCCAGCCTGTGCGCTGCTGACCATGCCCAGGCTTGGAGCCACCTCGATCCTGGGGGAGGTCACAGTTCCAGCAAGAGAGGGACAGGGGACTGCCAGGTCCCCAGGGCATGAGGAGCCGGAGGGAGGTGGCTGCGCTGCCCTGGGACTCCTCAGCCCCGTGGAGCAGCTGAAGAGGCCAGGCCAAGAGGGGCTGGCTGCCCCTCCAGACGGGGGCCTCTCTCACCTGCAAGCCCGGGGCACAGGCTCTCTCCACCTGGGGAGCGGGTTAAACGCAAAGCCTCCAGAGTCACGGCGGGTTCAAGCCTCGTTGGCTGGGGCTGTGAGGAGGGTGCTGGTGCTTCTGGCTTGGGGGTCGACTCTGCTAATTAAGAACAAGCTCCTCCACCTCTGGGAGCCTTGGCCTGCTCACCTGTAACAGGGCTGTCACAGGACACAATGAGCTAACGAGTGCGCGCGGAGCCTTTAACACAGCCTGGGATGCGGCGGTCGAGGGCGCGTTGCTGCCGTTCTTCCCCTCGCAAGTCCCGGCCCGGCCCAGCCAGGGGGCAGCGGGAGGCCTCCCAACCCCAGAGCCCGCGTGGGGTCAAGCAGGCGCATCAGCAAAAGGGTTTTCTCCTCTGAGGTTTCACCAGAGTCAAAACGATCTGGCCCAGGCTCTGAGACCCCACACCCGAGGCACAGTCAGGGAGTCCCGGGCCGGGCCAGGCCCACCCCGGTGCTGGGGGACGATTGCTGGCTGGGATCTGAGTGCCAGGAGCGCTGCCGGAGCTGAGGGTGGTTAATGTGGACCAGGATTGGGCCCCGAGGTAGGTCAAAATATGACAGCAGCCACTGGAAGGCACGGGCCATCTGTCCTACTGGCAACCAGTTTTCTTATCGGAAAACCAGGGCTTGGCAGCTGAGTGGGTTAAAATCTGCCTTCCTGGCACAGGTGCCCTGTGGAAAGCGGCTGGGTTCAAGGAGGAATGGGGGACGGAGGGAGTTCACTGGGTCACCCAGAGGCCTCTCTTTGACAGGGCTGCCTGGTGCCTCGACCTCCCCACGTGCCCCAGCTCCACATGGGCTGTTGGGCACCACAGGCTAAGGACTGAGCTAGACCCAAACCTTTCAAATTTTTTAGCATCAAAACATCTTTTTCCCCAATGACAGCATAAAGACCCAGTATATGAAACAGACGTGGGTGTAGCTGGCGGGGGGGCCGCACCTGGAGCTCAGCTCGCAGGACCCTCCACTGCACCCCCGCCCGGAGCTTCAGGGCTGCCCACGTCCTGTGATTCGAAAACCCCATGCTATGGTCTGAACGTGTCCCCTGAAGTTCACGTGTTGGAAACTTTATCCCCAAGGCAGCGGTGTTGGAAGGTGGGGCCTTTACAAGGAAGTGGGGCCTGGGGGCTCTGCCCTGGTGCGTGGATCAGTGGCGTTGTCGAGGGAGGGGCTCCAGCGGGGAGGATGAGTCCAGCCCCTTCTCTCTTCCTCTCCCCACCTCCCTGTCTCTCCTGCCAGGGCTTGCCCTGTGACACCTGTCATGCAATGACGTGGCTGGAGGCCCCTCGGTCTCGGTCTCGGGCTTCCCGGCTTCCAGGACTGTGGGCCAAATAGACGGTTGGTCTTTGTAAATCGCCTGGTCTGTGGCCTTCTGCTCTAGGAGCAGAAACTAAGACCTCCTCCCCCTCATATCTGAGCCCTTGGGAAGCTGCTGCTATTTCTGGCTGCCTCCACCTCTGCAGGCCACAGTGAGGTGGAGACTCTGCCCCTTTCCTGCCCTGTGCCCCAAGAGGACTGGGGCCTGGCTCATTCATTCACTCGGCCACCAGTTCTTGGGCATCCCCGGTTCTCGGGCCTGCCAGGCATGTGCCCGGCCTGGGGCTGGTGACCTTGGTTAGTGGGGGCCCACGTGGCTGGGGGGTGCGTGGGCACTGAGCAAATCGTTACAGAGTTACTTTGTCCCAGGTGTGACGGGCCCGTGGCCCACCACGCCGCAGCTTATGGTCTTGGGGGCTATAAACCGAAGAGGCAGTGGCACTGTCGTACTCAGGCCGCAGGATGGCACCAGCAGAGCCCATGGCCTCCTGGGCCCCCTGCCCCTCCTGCAGGGCCTGTCCCCTCCTCCAGCGCCGCCGCCCTGTGTGGCTGTGATTCCGACACCATCCGCACAGCACATCACCTGGCGCCCAGAAACAGAAGCAAATGGCGCCATCACTCAGGGCTCAGTGAGCCCCGCCACACGGCCCCGTCAAGTCTGCATCCCCTCCTCAACTCGGACTGGGCAGGGGGACCCCCGTGGGGGGAAGGTCCACCCGGCAGGAGGCTCAGGGGCGAGGGCTGTCCTTGCTGTGTGTCTGGGCCGGTCACCCGACCTCCATGGGCCTCCCCTCGCTGCAGTCACCAGGGCGGAGGCTACGCACTCAGGGTCCACTTGTGAACTGCATGACCTTGGCACATCCTTCCCCTCAGTGACGTCAGGGGGTCGACGAGGAGCCTGCTCTGTAAACGGCGCCTGGGACCCTATCGGAGGATGGCAGGGCTTGGCCTGACCACCTCTCACGCCCTTGAACCCCGACAATCCACACCCTCAGACCCTTTCAGGGGGTGGGTCTGAGACGCCTGAACCTCCTCCAGGAAGCACAGCTATTCCCGAGGCCTCAGAGGGTGGCAAGGACCTGCCTCGGGGCCCACTCTTCTCCCCATCTCAGGGCCCTCGGTGGCGTGGTGGCCAAGGAGCCAGAGTGCTGGCGCATCCTCGAGGCAGGACCGGAGCCAAAGCCTTCTCCGAAAAGAGCTGCTATCCCGGGGGACGTGGAATCAGCTCCTCCCAACACTGTCTGCCCGCGGCTGTGTGCGTGGGGGCCGGGGCGGGGCGCTGGATGACCTCGTGGACCCCTTTTGGGTTTGGACTGCTTTGGCCCTGAGGATACGCTCTGTGGGACCAGCTTTGCAGCAGGGCAGGACCACGGGGGACCAGGGCCGGGGTGGGGTGGGTGGGAAGCCGTGGGCTCAGTTGACACATGGGGCTCCGTGGGGCTCCTGTTGGCTGGTGAAGGGACAGGTGTGGGTGGTGTCCCCTGCTGGCTGGGGCTGTGAGGAGGGGTCCCGGGGCTCCTGGCCTGGGGGTTGACCCTGCTTCTCTTCCCCCAGTCTGGCTTCCAGGAGGTTGGGAAGCGGTGTGTCCTGCCGAGGGGAGCGTGAATGCGGCTAACCCCTCTGAAGGGCACTTGGCTTCAGAATCAGAAGGCTTCGCGCCGCGTCGCCCTTTGACTCAGCGGTTCCCTCTGTAGAAGTGTCTCCTTGGGAAATAATCAGGGACGTGTTCCATGATTCGTGGTCAAGGATGTCCCCTGCAGCATTATTTATAACACT